AGAGCGGTTTGGCTATGCATTGGACCCCCGCAGCACCAAGTTCTTGGAAATGGTTGCTGAAATAGAAAAGGAAGAGAAGAAGAAGAAGAAACAATTGAAACGCAGACTGAGAGAGCAGCAAGTGGCAGGTATCTTCACACCTCCTGCTGCCTCCTCATAGTCTTGGACTGGGTCGTTTCTGACACAAATAACCACTCTGCCTTGGTCTAAATGTATTTAGTGAGGCAGTTTTGAGTTCAGTGGGACAGTGGTCCTTGTTTTCTTACCTGATAGCATCTGTAATGACCTGGATTAAAGGAAACCTCATCCATTTCTTCTGTGGAAACTTTCCAGTGTCATTTACTCTATTTGTTATAGGTATTTACTCATTTTCCTGCCCTTTTTATGTATTTAGCTATCACTGAAATAAATTCTCTTGTATAGATGACAGCATTGTGTCAATATTTTAAAATGAAGCTTAGTAAAAGTTCAATCAGGAAGACTCTTTTCATTATCTCTGCCTAATTTCAGTTTTTGTCATGACCATAATCTGATGCAATATTACAGAATTGCTGAAAGAATGCTAACATTCATTTACAAGACATTTTTCAGTCCAAAAGTATATAGAAAGGCTGAGCAGTGCTGAGAAACAAGTGTCAGATATGAACAAATAATCCAAGTAATAAAGACAGAACCACTGTATAAAAATGCCTTTTTTCATTACACACAAGAAAAATAAATGCAGATTAGTAGTGAGGGTTGCTGTCAAAATTTAAACCAGTTTCTCTCTGCTTCTGTTAGCTGCCATTTTAGTGCAAGAGCTATGCAACTGTCCTCCATCCCACTCACCTCCAGTGCTCATCTTCCACTGAGTACATCAGAAGTCTTGCTGCACTTCACATGTAGCCATATCTTTAGCTTGCTACCAGAACAGCTTCAGTGCACCTTGGCATTGACTCTCCAAGTCTCTGAACTCGACTGGAGGGATGAACACCGTACTTAATATTCCCTCATGTGGTGTTTTGATAACGGTGGAGGAGACGCTGTCTAACACATCGCTCCGACATCATACATAGATGTTTGATTGGGTTGAGATCTGGTAACTGTGAAGATCATAGCATATGATTTCCATCATTTTCATACTGCTCAAACCATTCAGTGACCCCTCGTGTCCTGTTGATGGGGGCACCATCAGTCTGGACACCACTGATTTATTCAGGTTTTTCCCACTTTCATTTGTCACTTGTCTCTATTTATGGGAAGCAGACTTCACATTCCCCAGAGTCTACTCTGGAATCTTGGACTCTGAACTTCATTCATCACTGCCTGTGTCTAGACTCTGGAGGATGTTCCTGTGCGGCTCATGGAATGACTACCCTTTAAAATGATGCCATTAACTTGAGCAATTATCAGTTAGTCTGTCCTGATTTAAATATTACAGTGACAGTAAGACAAAACCATCCACATGTAAAGTTTATTTATGCAATTTTTTTCATTTTTACATTTGAAAGTTTTAGGAAAGTGCACACACTGATCCCCATGACTAAACAAAACATTTTCAGTCATTCCAACACACCAGCATGGTGAAAGTGAGTTCAGAATAGCAGTTAACAGTTCTTTCACCTCTTTTGCCGTCGCTGTGAACAGAACACTGGCTGCAGGTCATACATTTATTCAAACAAGTAAACTGATGCCTGAACTTGTTTTTAAAACATTGTATCAAATGTTTGTGTACCGGTATGTGAAATACTATGAACATCTTAGCACATTAAAAAATAATTCCAAACCATGTTAGAGCACAGTATGCTGAAGTGTCTTAATTATTTAATAATTATATAGAACCTAAGAGTAAAAGTAATTAAGTCCTAACATTTATTACACACAGCATTTATAAAGAATCTGTTAATTAAAATTTGGTGCTTTTTAAATTTTCTGTGTAAACAATAAAACATTGTCCGGACAATAAAATGCATATTCTATAAATACTCAAGTCTGTATTAACCTATGGAAGGCAGTGAAATTCAGGGTCCCCTGACTCAGTGTCTACCTTCTTCTTTTGGGCAGGACAGCCCGTGGAAGTACAGGTATAACAGTTCATACCTTTGTCCAGTGAGATATTAGTGCAGGCTGTGACACAAAAATTCCTGAAACAGTATCCTTGCACACAGATGAAACACCCAGTATTCAATTGTTGAAAACTGATAATAAGTAGGTTAAAAACTGGGTGGGAAATGTAGAGTCCACCGTGTAGAACCTTTGCAGCCGTGAAGACGTCTTACAGGTGAGTGTCCTCGTCTTCACCGGGGTCAGCCTTGAGTTTGGCCAGAACAGCGTGTATTCTGAACTGTGTACGAGACTCCATCGAGTAATCTTTGTAGTTTTGTCTACAAGTCAAAATAGCAGACACACTTAAGACTGCAATGATATTTCATTTACTTTGCACGTTATGTTCTTGTTCTGGCCAAAAAAAATGCCTAAACTTTAAATAACTGCAACATATATAGTGTTAGTCACTGGCACCTTCAATATAAAGATTATCAGCCTCGAAACACTTGCCGAGAGTGTACAACATTTATGTTTAAAACTGTCAGACCTATATTTAACAGGCAAATAGCGACCTCTAGTGTTTCTGTAATGGCTATAAGCTGAGCAACCAGGGAGTCAGAACCCACTCTAGTGTGATCCAAACCTATTCACAATCCCCAAAATAGACTTTGAAATTTTGAAATTTGATTATGGTGAATTACACACACACACACACACGCACACACACACGCACAGTGTTTTCATTCCTTGTGGGGGCTTTACATTGGCTTACATTCATTTCCTGTAAAGTTATCCTAACCTTAACCATAACCACTACTTGCCTAAAACCTAAACCATGTTGCCACCCTAAAATTCAGTGATTTCCTTGTGGGGAGTAGCTTCTGGTCCCCACAGTGTGAGTGTGTTAACAGGTTTTGGTCCTCATAATGCAAGTAATACAAAGGCGCATGCACACACACAAATATAATTAGCTGTGATGTAGTAATAAAGTAGCCTACTGTATATTAGGATATTACATGATATAATAAATAAATAGACATTTTGAATGCGCAACTTTAGCATTATTTTGTAGCAAAAACCAAGCATTTTAAAGCGGTAGCTTGCCATTTTGGGAGCTATGCTTATTTTTGCTGAGAGCTACGTAAAAACCACTGATAATCTCATGTATGTACATTAAATATGAAGCTACAGTAAGCAGTCGTTAGCTTAGCTTTGCATCAACACTGCGCACAAGGGGAAAACGCTAGCTTGCATATGTCTGAAACTACTAAAATGTGTCCATGTGCACCTCAAAAGCTCGCTCATTAGCAGGTTATGTACAAAAAAAAAAAAAAGTTAATTTGTATTTATTGCAAGGTTTTAACTGAATTAAACAGGGGCTAATTTTGGTCAGTTGTGTCATTGCTTTGGTGTTTTTGAGGTGCCAATGCATTAAATTTGAAAAACGTTACTTATTACTCACTATGGCCACTTTCTAATAAATGTACAGTATGTAGTCAGAGTATAGTAACTGTTAAGTCCTGGGCTCACTGTCTGCTTAAACAACACATGAGAGAAAGCAAAAATGTGTATATGTGTGGTCTAGTTCAATTTGAAAGCAGCTAAGATTGACATTTTTGATCATTTGTGTACATTATTACTAGTTGAATGCCTTCATGAAACTTCTTTAAATGAGTAACTTACTTGGCTTTACGCAGCAAAGTAATAGCCTCGTCCCTTCTGCCTTGGTCTATGTAGAGTAGACTGAGTTCCACCATAGAGTTGGGCACAAGATAGTGGTCAAACTTGATCTTCTTTTCACTGGGCACACATAGAACTAAGGTCAATTAACCATAGCTTTCATTTTACACATGACCCTGCATGTGACATACTCTCTAATGTTGTAAAAAAGAGCTACATTTGTTGTTTTTTTCCATGCAGGTGTTTGACTTAATTGTAAGCAACAAGGTGTGATGTCACGTTTGACTGATGTATTTCCTCTAATACTTGGTGGGTGAGTTGACAGGATTTTATAGCTGCTAAGCAAACACTATACAATCAGTACATTCAGACATGATTTTAAAAAGAAACAGACTGACAAAAACTACACTAAAACTTTAATGCATCTGTACAATGAATTTAGAAATCCTGTTACTGTAATTCTATGAAAGGTGTGGTTACATTTTAAAGTAGTGTTCTGGCCCCAGTTCATCAAGACATGGGTCAGTGTTCGCAAGACGTTTGGCTCATGCAGTGCAAAGTCTGATTATCAGTTTGTGGAATAACTCGCCCACACTGGTGCTTACCTGGAACACACTTTGTTAAAGCATTTCTCAGCAGCCTGGAGGAGACCCTGATTCTTCAAACACATACCCTTGAGCAGGTTTATCACACACTGGTCATCCACCGAATACTCATTTCCTGGAGGAAGGAAGCAGACACCATCAGCGTGGCTGTCTAAAGTAGCGTTTTAGGTGAAAATGCTTTGTCATGATTGAGATATGATGTTTTACCAGGAGACTCCAGCAGGGTGCGCTCTGCCTCCACCACAGTCTGCATTATGCCTTCATTCAGTTCTGGCTGTTTACTGATCACACTGAACCCGTTCCACATGTACATCATCTCCTGTAATGAAGTAGTGAATAATGTTGGAAGGCTATGCGAGTCAAACACACTGACCATTTTGTATGCGAAGCTTTACCAGCACTGGTACTGGTAATCCGACTGGGTAGGGAGCCTTGTAGCGCCTGGCTTTACGGATGGCAAACTTCTCAGTTGCGGGAGACTTCCCTGCTATCTTCTGCTTGAATGTAGGTACTTTCCTAAAAGACACAGGAAACTAATAAAGACAAATTTGGAACCAAAGCATTGCTGTAGGTCTGAGATATCGCCTACAGCTGATACACCTGTATTCACTGATCTTTGGTCGCTCGATGGTAGAGTAACAGGTTGTTAACACCAAAGTGATATCACCTTAAACCAAACATGTTAGCTAACAGTTATATATTTACATATCCAGCTGATATGGAGCAGTATATTAACACCAATTTGGAAGTGTATCTCTAGTCACCTGACGAATATAAATCCAATATTCATTCTGCTTTTAGCTTCATTTTATCTCCACCAGCTCCTGGGGGAAATAGTTGGCTACTCAGCTGCCAATTGCTCCACTATGTTCAAAAGCTAGTTGATAACTTTGTCTGTCTGTCCTTCAGTGCTGAGCAAGAAGTGTACAGTGGACAAAGGGAGGTTTTGACAAATTGTTGCCTTAAATACAACAAACTTTTTTCTGGTGTTTTTGTTTAACAGATAATGGTCAAATTAGTTTAATTTTATATTGTGGATGCAACATGATATTTGCATTCATTTCTCTGATTGTGCTGTTGTGGAGTACTTGGCATGATTCACCTCAGGGGGGTGGGACCACTGTGCAGCAGCCATGTCCCCGGCCAGGAGTAAATAAAGAGCGCAGTCAAAGTTAGCTAAAGAAAGCACTATGCTTCTCATTTTTACACAAAATAAAATTCTTAATAATGTATGGTCTATTATTTTACAGAACTAGGGGCTTAATTTACTTTTTATGTATTTCAAATGTACTACTCCTCTCCGAGTCTGTGCCCCAGCTTGGCCACCCTGTCAAAAGTTTTCTAGATCCACCCCTGGAATGCAGGATGTATATTCCTATGCAGTAATCTGTAATGGTTACCCCTCTTACTAAATCTCTTGGATGTTTCAACTTGTGCACAGTGATGTACTGTATAAACAGAGTCTGACACCTTCATCTGCTGAAGAGGTAAATTTCTCTGTACTTAGTTAAATCTAATTTTAAAATGTGTACTTTGACTTTTATGACATCACAACTAGCTCAGAAGCCGACTGAGGTCTAATATTCAGCAGAATGAAGAACTTCTGAAGAGATGAAATTTTCTGGTGGAAAACCCACATGTGGCATTAACATTTATTCACCTAAGTATTTTTAATAACCTCCTCAAATGTGTATGTTTATGTGTAGTAGTGATCTTGCCCGCAGAGGACACAGCAGCATTTATCAGGAATGACTGAGTCCTGATCTACCCACAAGCAAATACACATTAATCCTTCAAGTTCAAACGCTGTGAACGTCATAAGTAAGTATGTAAATGATGCCATTTGCCTTATAACTGCTTGTGTATACAATGTGCTGTTAAAAAAAAAGTATATCACAAAGCTAAGGACAATAATGACAAAACATAAAACAAATACAGTGTGTGTTTACCTAAAGAGCTCTACCTCATCCTCCCCAAAAGGCCTTGCTTCATCCTTAGGCAGCATACTGAGACACGCAGCTTTCATGAACACATACATGGCCTAAGAGAGAGAAACAAAAAAAAAAAAAAGATTCTCTAATTTTGTTTCACACGACATTTGACAAGAACAGAATAAGAAACTTCACAATTCTACACCTTGGACCAGCGGTTCTCCTGGCTCAGTAGGTCTGCGTAGAAGTAGGCCATCCTCCATGCTCGTTTAAAGGTGAAGCACCACATCAGCTCCCAGTAGCACATGTGGTGGAACTGCTTCCATGCCTGCTGGGCCTTGCAGCCATCTTCAAAAAGTGTCACTGCCTGGTAGCACAGTGAAATTACATCGTATAGCAGAATAATAAGGATATGTAACAGTGATGCTGCATTTGATATATGATATATTAATTAAACATTAACACTGGGAATTACTCCTGAATAGCTCAGGGGCTAAAACATGCCATTAATATTACTACAGTTAACAGAAGCCCAGGATTCATTTACTCCCAAATAGGTGAAATCACTTATTGTGTAGGTTTTGTGAGGAAAAAAGGGCTGTGATAAAAATATTAAAATGTACAAATAAAACATAAGTCATCACCCTTTTAAGCTTTGTTCCTGAAACACACCTCATCAATGTTCCCTTTGATTTCCTCAATCCTGCCTGCAAAGAAGAGGAATATTGCTCCCTGGACAGAAGGGAAAAAAACAGATCATAAAATAAATTTCAGTGTCCAGGGTTTCAGAATTGTGTTCAACCAAGACATTTTCATTAAATATGCTACACGTTGTCAGAGCTTCGAGTTTGTTCTCTGGGATGGGCTGGCATGTGGATATAAGGTGGAGTGGGACTGAATTTACAAGAATGTGAGTCATGTATAGTGGTAGGAATGATGGCATGAAGGTGTGTGAGTGCATATGAAGGAAAGATGGTGTAAGGATTTATGTTGCTAAAGGGACTGTGAGTCAAAGGTGGAGTGAGAATCTAGTAATGGTAATCAAGGATGTGGGAAATTGTGAGAGTGTGAATGAGAGCGGAAGGAGGGATTTGTGGTCAAGCGCTGACATAAAGCGCAAACAGACGTAAAAACAGAAAGACTGGCAGAACAATGACGTGAAGAAGTCCAGGTGGCAGTCAGAGAAAGGAGAACAGATTTAAATAAGAACTAGCAAGAGAGGAGGAATACACACGTTATAAACACTGCAAATAGCAACAAAAAGAACAGTATGTAACACAAATATTACAGTCTGAATAGTTTAGCAGTAACAGATTATTTTGATTTGTCAAAAGTTAAATTTTTTTGTAGTTTTGGACAGGTTATCAACACCGCAACAACTTACCCTGATGATCTAAACCACTTTAATACTCCCCTAACTGTACAAGAAAAATACAGCTATGCCAAAACTACCAAAATAAGACAAAAAAAAAACAATTATTCTTTAATAGAATATTTCAATGAAATGTTATTTGGAAACTAATAAGCATGGACGGATTATGAGACACTGGGCCCCTAGGGACAGACCTGTAAAAGGGCCCCCCAGCCTCCTACACAGGATCGAGACTCCCAGAGTGAAAGGGAGTTTTGTGTCTCCTTTTATTCGTGTTGCATCTCTCTGGTCATTTTGTATCTTGTTTTAATAATTTTGCATTTAAATTTAGTTGCTGGCCCCTTGTTTAGTGATTGTTTTTACACCAGCACTTTTTTTTTTTGTTACTTGCTTCTCATTTTAGTGGCTCTTTGTGGTTATTTTTATCAATTTTACTTGTTTTGTCGATGAGGTTGTTTTGCATATCATTCGGCTCATTTTCCATCTTTTTGTGGCAGTTTTTACTCATTTTGGGTCTATTTGACATTAATTGACTTTCCAACAACAAATGCTAAGTCACTTCATTCAGAGGCTCTAGTTTCCCCCCCTCCCCGATGGGTGTATATTTCTTAAAAATAATGCACCACTATGCTTATTACATCAGTTAGGAATAGCACGCATTAGGCGTAACACCTTGATCAAAAGATATCAAGTCACCCAGGTTTTCCAAGAAAGCAATTTGTTGTATGAAGAGGTCGCTACTCACCCGTGGGTAGCGGAGCTGGAAAGGCTTCAGCAGCTTTGCAGCTTCATCCACCTCTCCCTCACCTGTCCCTGAGAGGAAAAATAGAGAGATGTAATATGATTCAATAGGATGACACAGGATACTATATGGTATGATATGAAATGATATGATAAACTTATGATGTTATACGACATAAAATTACATGATAAATGACAGTTGCAATATAACGTATGGATGAGACACAGCACTACCTAGTATGAATACAAGGAAGAGGTAGTAGCAGAGCAGCAACAGTGCACAGAGCATGGAGTGCAGATTCGTCCCTATGGCACCATCATACAGCAGGGACAGACCGTATTCCTAAAACAGAACCACACATGTACCAAACATGCATGTGTGTATTATGTACAGGAACTAACATAAATTAATAAGTAAATACATAATTGAGGAAAAACTATATATATATATATATATCCACACACACACACACACACACACACACACACACACACACACACACAGTTTATGTTTCGTAGTCCATGGGGACTTTACTTCGACTTATGTGCATTTCCTGTAGACTAACCCTAACCTTAACCAGAACCATTACTTGCCTAACCCTAACCTTAACCTTAACCTCATCCTAACCCTAAACCATGTTGCCATCCTAAAATTCAATTTCTTGCCCATGGGGACTTCAATTTAGGTCCCCACCGTGAAATGGGTCCTCATGAGTTGGTATGGAGTCAGGAAGAAGTCCCCACGTAGCAGGAAAAACACGTCCACATATATATATACACACACACACACACACACACACACACATATATATATCTATCTTAATCACACCTTGTCTCCAGAGAAGCCTGCAAACTCCAGAACTTTGAGTATCCGTGGAGGAAAGAGAGAGAGTGTCTGTAAATAAAGAAGACATGATACACTGTGCTGTATAAACACACCGTCAACGTGTTGTGTTTTAAGATAATCTCTTGCGACATACCAGATTAAATGCCCCTATTCCAAATGCTAATCCACCTTCTAAGTGAACATGGCTGGGTCCTTTGAGAGAGCTGTGGGCCTTTATGAAGGCATGCAGGTCTCTGGATAAGAAAAGACATCTGTTTAACACAGCTCAGCATAATAACCCAATACTGTATGGCATAATCACATGACTATGCAAAAGAAACAATAACTTAAAGGGGTACTCCAGCAATTTTACACTGCACTTCCACAAAGACAAGAAACTTGTGGGATGCAGATAAAGAAAAAAAAAAACAGCAAATACCAAAGCAGCAGATGACCTGACTTTTAGTCTCTTGTATAGGTTTTGAGAAGCGAGATGTCCTATCCTCTGATCCATCATCTGAAGCATCCAATTACTAACCGATTTCTAACAAAGGGGTGAGGTAGTCCATAAAAGACTGAAGGATGCTCTCATTTGTTCACTCAAGTCTCCTCAAGGTAGCCTTCTCGCTCCTCTTAGCAGCATGATGTCCTTCATTAAAGCAAACCAGAAATGATTTCTGGATCACCCCAGGTGTGAGGAGACTTGAAATATGATGATGTGAAGCACTCAGAGTGTCCTGATAACATCTAGGTTATGTTTATAACCCAACCTACAGAGGATATATAGTTTTCACAAGCAGAGTAGTGTTATGTAAATTAAACAGCAACAAGTAGTTGATAGAAAGAAAACTAATCGGCACTACTGTACCAGTATTTTAGGAATCAATCATTTCAGTAAATTTTCAAGCAAAAATATCAAATATTTATTTAAGTTTCTTAAACGTGAGCAATCTTGATCATATATAACAGTAGATGGAAACATCTTTGCATTTTGGACTGTTTTGGACAAAGTAAGGAATTTGAAGATGTCAATTTGGGCTCTGTGAGATTGTGGCAGCCATTTTTATTATTTTTTGACCATTAATTGACTAAATGAATACTTGATTATACAAGAAAATAAACAGAAAATTCATTACAATTATCACAGTCCTTTCTGAACTGCACGTGTAAAATTGGTGGAGTGCCTCCTTCATAATAACCACGTTACAACTGCAGCAATTCTGAACATTCAACGGTGAGATAACGTACAGACATAGAACACACTTATCACTCAGTCACACCAATGACATTTAATAAGCACTGGTTTTCCTTCATTACTTACTTGTAAAGCAAGTAACTGTTCCGTACTTTGATCCCTCCTTTGATAAAACTCACCATGCTCTCATCCTACCCAATAAACAAGAGATAATGAAATCATAATTAATTTCATTTGAATACCACAAATTTGAGATGACAGAAGTGGAACTTTCATGCTGTGGTTCCAAACGTCTTCTATTTCACAATTACTGAGGTCACTGAGCTCCTGGGATCACTCATAGCTTTATAAATAGGTTTATAACCTTGTCCTGTTCTATGCCTCACCACAATTATATCATAGAGCTCTACAAAATGTTACTTGGACTTCACAGCCTGGTGTTGCTCTTGACCTGACCCTGTGAATTGTGGATCCTTGTATACACAGGTAGGGTATATCTATATCTAAACTACTATATGTCCAATCAATTCAGTTCGTCATAAGTGAATTCCAGTCAATTCTGGACACATCTCAAGGAAAAATAAAGCAAACAAGATGCTCCACAGTGTGGAGTGCCACAGCAAATTGTTTGAATACATTTGTAAATGACAGGTTTCAGTTTTGGATTTTTAATACATTTTCAAAAATGTCTAAAACACATTTTCACTTTGTTATTATGGGTCAGAGTAGATTGATGGGCAAAATGGCTATTATACCTTTTTAAAAATAAATCTATAACACAAAGTGTGAAAAAAGTGAGCATGTCTAAATACTTTGTGAAGCCACGGTTTATCAGGCTAGACAGTTGTTTCTGTTTTAAAGTGAGTAGCAGTTACTGCACCTGTAGGAAGGTGAGAGCAGCTCTGTGGAGTTGGCACTCTGCATAACAGATTTCAGCATGGAGCTGCTCTGCAAAAACACATCCATATAATAATAAACCATATATATAAGTAATACATTACATACTGTCATCATAGTGAACAGGCCATACAGCAAAAAAAAAAAAAAAAAAAATCCAGTCCCTGATGCTAGAAAGTTTCATCTACCATACACCATATTCGCACCTCCATTTTCTTCTACCTTCTCCTTATGTCACATTTGATGAGTCGGATTTCTGAACTTGCACACACAAATAAAGTTCTATTTGATAATTATACTAAAAGGTGCGTGCAAATGTTAGCCACTAGATAAAACATTTGTTACTTATTTAAGGAAAAAATGGTTTCAACTGTACATCACCAGTTACAAAATAATCAGATACTTCTACCTATGTCTCTGGCATCCCACAAGGATTACTACAGGGACAACTCTACTTCATTTTCTCTTTTTTTTAAGCACGATCACTAATATCCTGACAGATTTTTTTTTTACTTTATTTTTAACCACACTAGCAGTGTGGTTAAAAAGGATGGTAATACTGGCCAACAAAATGGATTGCCATAGCATCCGATACAGACATTCATGTCTCCCCTCAAGGTGAACTGTTATTCTACAATGATCCTCAGACTTTTCATCTGGTTCCATCACCAGTTCAAAAATGTAATCTGTTCAATACTTTGGTTTATCATAAAACTGCTGCAAAACTAATCAGGATTGCCATCTGATTTATTTAGTGTTTAGTGCTGATTAGCAAATGTTAGCATGCTAACACATTAAACTAAGATGGTCAACATATAGTAAACATTATACCTGCTTAACATAATATGTTAAGATCATGATATATCTATGGGTACAACTCAGTTCCCTTACTTGAATCCAGATTTTTGTCCGTCCCTGTGTTTATACTGCATAGACCAATTAAATCAGTGTGTAATTGTTTCCACTGCTCAGAGGCTATAGGTGCATATACAATTTTTAATGGCAGCAGAGGTAAACTAGAGGAATGCATTTCCTATTGAAAATGTGTGTGGATGCTGATATGCTGAAGGATTGTCCTGAAAATGCTTAAAATTTTGACACCTGAATGGTTTTTCTAGCTGAAATTATGCTGAAGTAGAATTTCCCCATTCATTTGAATGGGACAAAACCTTCAAAATAAAGCTAAATATTTTCAAAGTATGAAGTTTTGGAAAAATTTTCAATAGATGCATGAATGTCCTTGAAGAAGTGAACATTTTGATAGCTGAAATAGCTGAAAGTATGCTGAAGTAGAATTTCCCCATTCATTTGAATGGGCAAAATTTTGCTGAAAAACACTAAATAGTTTAGGAAAAATCTGAATAGATCTGCACATGTCCCGAAAAAGCTGAACATTTTGATACCTGAAGGGTTTTTCTAGCTGAAAGTATGCAGAAGTAGTTAAGCGGCAAAAAACATATGGAAGAATAATAATAATAATAATAAGACCAGCAAAACATACAATTTAATAATTATTAGCTTCTGCATTTTTTTTTATAAATCCTGTTTGCAAATAATCAGTTCATCATTCAATGACCCAGGTTATGATAAAAAAAAGTTATGATGCTGTGTAGAAATGATTTACAGCCCAGACACTGTAAACAAAAGTAAATTGTGTAACATCTCATATTTCGATACAGCATGCGGCGATTTTCAGCCTCATGTGACTTAACAGAACGGATGCTAGACAAATGTGCTTATTGCTGAACGAGATCAGCCCATCCTCCTTTCTGTGACTATAATATTGCTTATGACACATATTCAAAGGGATTTAATAAGTTTCGAATCAATGAAGAAATTGTTCATGGTTCTTTTGTCAAATCAGACCTACAGTTAACACAGATCCACTACTTTTAATCAGTTGATGAATATGAAAATACATAAGATTTTAAACTTGCATTACTGAAATTGGCTCTGTTATTTGGCTGTCTACATCTCTATAAAACTGGGGTGATACTGTGACGCATGATCATTTTAGTCCAATCAGCTGCAGCGTCTAATCACTAACTGATATCCATTAAAGTGGTGTGTTGGACTGTTCAAAGATTTTCCTCAAGGATAGTCTGGTGTGTACTCACTCCACAGAGTAGAAATAAGAGCCCTCCAAGATGAAGGATTGATATGACTTTTGAGTCAAGCGATAATCGAGGAGAAATCAAACAAAGGAACTGGAATGTACCCACTGTGAGCATGTTAGCACAGCCTACTGACACCTGCATTTAGCTTAAAGCACTGCTGTGCCTAAGTACAGCTTCACAGATGTGAATGTGAAATGTCAGTGGGAAACTGTGAGCTTACAAATAATAAACAGTTGACACCATGAAATATCATAGATTAGAAAATGCTATCAGACTCCAATTCACATGTACTGGGTATATGCCCTCAAGCATTTTCTCACACAATCCCCGTTATCCACTGGAATAAGAAAAATCAAATGTGAATTACACTTTTTTCATTTTATTTTTTGGGTGGACTTTTCTTTAAAACTGCAGGAGTGAGGCATCGGAGCCTTTTTTACCTTCACTGACAGAGTCTCCTGCTGACTTGTTAGCAAAACCTGGGGATTTCCGTCGAACCCTGAAACATCAAACAACATCAGCATCCACACAAGACACTGTGTTACTGTTCTTGCTATGATTATCATGTTTTCTGATAGCAAAATTATACACATGGATGATTGCTCTGTCTTAACAGCCACTATACAGTACAGTGGCTTCTCTCATGGAAACAGTCAAATTGGCAGTATGGCTAGAGATGAGCCATGTAAATACATTCATGTAAATTAGCCCTGTATGGCTTATGAACTGGAAGAGTCAGCAACACCTGAGAGGAACATAATCGATTATGTCCATTCACAAGACATCCTGACCTCTGACAGACCTCCTGGGCACTCTTCATGGTATTTCCTGCATTGGTGATGTCATCATGCTCAAAAGTCATCATGGCCTGCATTTCCAGCACTGTGGCGTAGATAAGAGCATGGTACATACTCTCATCCACTCTACACAGGAAAACATAGAGTCACAGGATCAACATCAGACACATCATACTGTAAGCAAACAGAGGACAGCTACTGCATGATGTACGCATTTTACTGTTCGAAAAAGATAAGAGTAAATATCTTGCTCTCCTCTACAGTCCCAGTCTGTCTTGTGTGTAGTGTTTATTTTGTCATTGTCTTGACTGCTGAATGAGTCAGACCTTGGGCGTCAGCTTCAGCAAACACTTCATATCCTGGAAGCCTGCACAACAAGGGCCACTCTCGTGTCTTAGCTGACAGGAAGTTCATTACTTTGCAGCTCACACCAAAGAAGTTTCTTAATAACATCACTGCCAGTCAAATACTGCTGACATCACGCTAAAAACATACCACAATGAATCTGCTAAAATAAACACTTTAGTGTACTGCAAGCTTAAACTCACACAGTGACAACTGGTTAAAAATCTCTGTGGAGACAAGCATGACCCAAATCTACTGTTACCTTGGCCTCAGCCTCTCCATGCTCTCACTGAAGTGGTTATTAAGGAAGAGATCCAGGGCCTCCATACACTCATCCAGGCACTCTTTCATGGTCATCTGTGAGGAGCTGCCACACAATCCAAACAGATTTCAAAACAAACATATTCACACAACAAATGCAAGTGATCTAATGGGTGACTGAGCTGTGTGTTCCGATATTGTAGGGTAGGGCACAGCCAGCAGCGCATTGGACATTGATAAACATGCAGAATCCATATGTTGAATTCAGTGGTTAACAGAGTGAATTCCAATAAGCAGAGAGCTGATATGAGAATTAGCGCAGTCAGTAATGGCATCCAAATTTAACTGTTAATCTCTCTGTTTTGTTTACCAACCCTGCTGCGGACTTGGGTTACTGGCTGTTTGGAATAACTCTATCCACATCGCGCACTGAAAGAATGAAAGACCTACCGAGACTCTTCCTGGTGCGTTAACCCCTGCCATATGCGACTTTAATTCATCTTATTTATCTGACTGGCACTATTTCATGACAAAAGTCGATCACTGACAGACAACCAGAAGACCAGCAGAGAAAGTGTGCCGTGCCGTGCCGTGCCGTGCAGGTGAGGATATTTTTAAATTCCTGTGCAGGTTGGTTTTGCTGAGTTAAACATGAGTTTATCAGTTGATTCAGAGCCAGAAAAAAAAAACCGGTTACTCGGCCAAAACATCAACGCTTTAGGGAGAAAACACTAAATAAACAAAGACTTTTCATGTACGCACCCTTCTGCAGCATCTGCGCATTTCCCATTGCCATTGGACATGTTCACTCTCCGTGCGGCAGCGTGCCCCGACACCTGTTAACAGATCAGCAGCTCTCGCAGAAAATCAAGATACATCCAGTACCCGCACTATAAACTCGATCAGTCGTAGCCTGTAGAAGCTGGTGTTACGTTACAAAGACTTAGCGGTTGTTTAAATCCAGGTAAAGTTCTCAGTGGCACAGGTATGGATACATCTGCGTTGGTCCAGTCAAAGTAACAATTTGAGTATGCGCAATAGAAGTGCTCTGACTCCTCCTCTGTGAAACCCCCTGCCACTGCCACGCACATATCTGAATCAAACGATCAGGTGCGAGCAGATCCCAGTTCAGTGGAATTCTGGGCAGGTTACTGTGATCGGATGTGCACTACAAAGACTACAGATTATTGAATTAACTTACCCCCCCCCCCCCAATTTCCACTTATTGTTGATTTCGCCTTATTGTTACGTTACTTGACTTATGTATAAGAAATAGTTTATTAGGAAGCTTTGCTTCACTTGAGGGAACTGGAAGTGTTAAATACTTGCTTGGGCGCAAATAACTAATCAGTTAATTAGAAATGAATGGGTGATTAGATGGTCACACTCCATGTTCGCGTATTTTTACAGTACAGTCACTTGGGGGCACTATTGTCATACACATGGTCAGGTGCTCGCGTTGGTACAGCCTCTCTCTTCAACGTTTACAGTAACGGGACGGCACAGTGGTCAGGTGGTTAGCGCTGTTGCATCACAGCAAGAAAGTTTGGAGTTTGAGCCCAGGGATGGTAAACTGGCGACTCTAAGTTGAACATAGGACTGAGTCTGAGTCTGAGTGTGTGTGGCTGTTTTTGTCTACATGTCAGCCCTGTGATAGACTGGTGTATGGGATAGGTTCCAGCACCCCCCAGTGACCCTGTTCAGGAATAGGTGATGTAGGATGATTTAGAGGCATAGGTTGGACAAAAATGACCCATCTATAGCCCATATATTTATGTTATTCTTTTTGTATTAAATAAAATTTTCCTATTGGAAAGTTACAGCATTTACCTCCTAACTGAAAGATTTTTTCTCCTCTACCAGTAAGTCTCCACGTTCAGTATGATACTATGCATTTCGGGAATCCTGCAGTGAGAGTACTGACAGGAACTCGAATATTATCTTCTCTCCACTGGCTCCCTGTAAAATCCAGAATAGAATTCAAAATCCTTCTCCTAACATACAAAGCCCTTAATGACAAGGCTCCATCGTATCTTAAAGACCTCATAGTGCCTTAACATCCTAACAGAGCACTTCGCTCTCAGAGTGCTGGTTTACTTGTGGTTCCTAGAGTCCACAGAAGTAGAATGGGAGGTAGAGCCTTTAGCTATCAAGCTCCTCTCCTATGGAGCCAGCTCGCAGTCTCAGTTCAGGAGGCAGACACCTTTTCTCTTTAACCTCTAGAGTCCTGAGCTTTGGAAATATTACTAACAAGGGTTTGATAAGAAGTACAATATTTGCCTCTCAAATGTATTTAACTAAAGATACCTCTGTGTGTGTGTGTTCTCAAAAGGAAAGAATACTTGTTAAATGTTACCTGGTGATGGCGCTGGATGAAAAGTCAAAGGATCACCAAAGTTATTTCTCATGGCAAACTCATCCAATCACTGTCGAGATATTTCAGTGTGGATCAAATGTGGTGGACAGACTGACATTACCATCCACAGAGCCATGGCAGCCCACCAACGCAAAACATATATAGTTCTTAGTAGCTTCTGCTCCAGGTTAACTGTTTAGTGGCAGTCCACACATTGCCGTCAACTCATCCTCTCTGACTAACTCCTTCCTCTTTGTGGATGTGAGGTCCTTACATTTCCTGGAGACAGTAGAAGAGTCTATAAACACCCTAAACACAGGGACATGACCACAGCTACTACCCCCCACATTAACTAGCTCCTGTGATCTTTAAATCCCTGTCGTGCAGTTGAGTGTAAGGGCCTGATATGCTGACAACTAAAATCCACACATTTGTGTGATAGTTGTGATTTCACTGCAGCTGGTGGTTCTTGATACAAAGCTTGATGTCAGCTGCTTCAGCATGTCTCTGCAGAGGATGTGCTGGTGTTTTTATCATTGCTGTTTCAGAATAGAAGTGTAATCTCCACACTATACATATTTCAGAGAATTTTTTTTTTATTACTAACAAGGGTTTGTGTATTAATGTCTGTAAGGCAGGATGTTTTCTTCAGGAAATCTGCTGCATATGAAATATAAGAAGGAGACACTGGTGAAGTTTCATGAAAAAAAAATTAATTAATATTTCAGTGAAGTGAAGCAACTTGGCTTGAACAGAAGTACAAACAGGGTCTACCTGTGGTAAGATGGATTCTTATCCCTTACATTAGATGATAGATTACAAATAATATTCCACGGTTTTGACATTATAAAGTTTGTTTTAAACTAAATGCAAACTGTCCCTGGACGTGGTGGTGTGTATTCCTAACGATGCCCTACTGTGACGTCTTAGCGGCGTTCGTAGGTAAAAGTGGTGAAGCTGTGAGAGTTTGTCAGACATTAGGAGAAGCAGCAGTTTGATTCATGTGATTTTTAAAAGTTATCAAATAAATGTAGTGGAGTAAGAAGTACAATATTTGCCTCTCAAATGTAGTAATGTATGAAGTAGCAAAAAATGAAAATACTTAACTAAAGATACCTCAAAACTGTACTTAAGTACATAGGCTACTGGAGTAAATGTAGCTACTTAGTTACTTTCTACCTCTGCCAGTGCTCACACGTGTGTGTGTGTGTGTGTGTGTGTGTTAAGCTCTACATTATGCAGTACAGAATCCAATGCACAAGCAGAGTGATGGTGCAACCTGCTACTCAGCTGAAGGCTACCTCTCCTCCTCCAACGCCTCTACTCTTTCTTTTTGTGTTTGTCAAATCACAAATCATCTTATCAGTGTGCAGGCTTTTATGGCATAACAATATTTTACATATGTTTTAATGATAAAAATACCAAATATACTAAAACAATTATGTCCAGGGGCAGCACGGTGGCACAGTGGTTAGCGCCGTTGCCTCACAGCGAGAAGGTTCCGGGTTCGGGCCCCACCTGGGACCTTTCTGTGTGGAGTTTGCATGTTCTCCCCGTGCTTGCGTGGGTTCTCTCTGGGTGCTCCGGCTTCCTCCCACTGACCAAAGACATGCAGCTTAGGTTGATTGGTGTCTCTAAATTGCCCATAGGAGTGCGTGCGTGTATGTGTGGTTGTTCGTCTATGTGTTAGCCCTGTGATGGATTGGCGACCTGTCCAGGGTGTACCCTGCCTTCGCCCGATTGCCGGCCGGGATTGGCTCCGGCCCCACTCGTGACCCCGTTCAGGGACTAAGCGGTAGAAAATGAATGAATGAATGAATTATGTCCAGATCTGACTATTTTGTAACTCTTTCTTGCTATTCCTGCCTCACCCTGAAGCAACTTTCATGGCTTCAACTGCTTCAGAATTAACCAAATGGACTTTCAATAAACATGAACAAAAGGGTCGTTGTAATGTCCCACCAAAGCTGTACTGGCGCCCTTTACAGTTTAGAACTGATTTAAATGTGGAGAGCAGGCTTTTGTTGTCAGGAACTGTGTGTACTTCTGTGTCCACTTTTAAAGAGCATTTAGAAATGTTCTTGCTGTGGCATTTTATACTGTCCCAATTTTGTTTTTGTGTAGCCTAAAACCTCTGCAAGGAAGATGTGTGTATTATACAGATTTATTTCTATTCATGTGATTGTATCACTCTATTCTACTCTTTTAATACTATACTTGCACTTGATCTTGTTTTAATATATTAAGTTATTTCATTGCTTTTACTTGAGCTTAACTTATCTTTTATTTTCTTGTGAAGCACTTTGTGACATTTGTAAAGTGCTATATGGATAAATAGTTTATTATAACTAGGCTATAAACTCTGACCTTTAATCAAATACATTACTTACTTAGGGTGTAGGACCCTCAGTCGCAAGACCAGTCTTAATGCTATCATTTTCAAGGCTACCTATTAAAAACACTGACTATATAGCAGGGAGTGCAAGGCAGAAAAAATGAAGGAATTTGTCATGTGCAATATGGATTTCAAATCAAATCAAATCAAATTTTATTTGTATAGCGCCAAATCACAACAAAAGTCATCTCAGGACACTTTACAAAGTAAGGTCTAGACCTTACTGTTATCAATATTATTATATAGGGAAAACCCAACAAATCCCGCTTGAGCAAGCACTTGGCGACAGTGGGGAGGAAAAACTCCCTTTAACG